AAAACAAATTGTAATTCCTTGACAATTTGTTTAGAGGTCCTTAAAATATTAACTGCCACCAACCAATTATTAATGAGTTGAGTGAGGAAAAACAAGTGAAGATATCTTCAGACAAGATGGAGATGTTTATTGTCAAGGTAAACATCTCCATCCTAAACTGGGTTTGGGAGTGTGTCAGTCAGTCCTAGTGGGGCTACACTCCCACTGAATGGTTGCGTTTGAGGCTTGGAGGTCCTTCTGGAATCGTCATTCCAAACGATGGCACAGAAAGATCTAACTGTCAGGAGTGAGTATTATCACCTTTTGTTGTTACATTAGCTGCACCCTTAACTAGAGCTAGAAAATCTAATGATGGTAAAATGTGGGCTGGTAACATCAAGACTAGATTTCTTCTATGCATCATACACGGGAAATTTCAATGAACTTAAACCATAAGAGCCATACTGGTACATCTAGCCGTGATCATATTACACCAGAATTAAAATCACTTCACTAGCTGCCAACTCATTTCCAAGCAAGATATAAAAAGATGGGGGCTACCTTAAAGCCAAAGATAGTTTGGGTCCAGATTACCGATGTGATCACCTTATCCTGTATAACCCACCCCATACACTCAGATTATATGGAGAACATTTATTTCAGTCAGCCAAGAATAGGCTCACAGACAATACCAAGAGGGCATTCTCTTTAGCCACCCTCAAATTGTGGAATGACCTATCAGAGAAGATTCATCACTTTAATTTACTTTCTGAGTTTAAAACAACAGTAAAAATGAATGTCTTCCAGCAGGCCTACTCAGATTATTTTCAAATCAATGATTTAAAGATTAATGATGTATTGATTATTTTTAAGATATAGTACCATGTGTCTAATCTATAGTTGTTCCTTGCTTCAATGTAAGAGGAGAAATGGGTAAGAAATAGATGCTATTGTTTTAAATCTAGAAGACATTGTACACTGAAAAATGTGTATACAAATTTAAATTTTAAATATTTAATTTTTTGCATCAATTTATAAAGACAGACATAAGTACCACACTAAAACATGAAGTCAGCTTCTAGAGGGCACCATTGTCTATGCAGGATTTTTCTTCATCTATACAATGGAACTTGGACTGGATTTACAGGGTATCATCTAAGTATCTAAGGAGTTGGTTCCCAACCCATGGGTCGCAACCAAAATGGGGTCACAAAGGGTTTTCTGTGGGTTCGCGGGCAGTAGTGAGCAATGAAAAAATTACATCATTGTGTTCTACACAGAGATTTGTTTGCATAAACATGTAACGATCTTTTGTTCGTTGAGTTAGTTTGTTGTGAAGTCCAGGTTCATGCACAGATAAGTGACTGGCTCTAAGGTATGCAGGTGCTGCTCAGCTTGTGATTACTTGATTCTTAGTGATACGTGTGAGTTGAGTGCCTAGCCTGTTTCTTGTGAGCAGTAACTTTTTTCTTCGATACCAGCAAATTCTGCAAAATATAATAAATTGTATGTTGACATGAACCAAATGATCCCACTTCTAGGAATCTGATGCCCAGCACATCACATTATTTCCCTTCTTTGGTCAACCAAGAGCAATCAACCACAAGCCGAGCAATACTATAAGGTCCAGAAACCATAGTCATCACTACAGCAGCTCCAACAGCTCTAATTTTTAATGAATCAAGGTTGTGGGTCACCTATTTTTAATATATCAGGGTAGTGGGTCATTTTGCCTCTATAAAATGGGGTCATGACTCAAAGGTTGGGAACCACTGATCAAAGGCATCAGGTCTAAATTTGCAAGCAAGAATAGTACATTGCATTAAAAGATGGCACATTGCTTACCGTGTAAATGCCAATTCTACAAACAGCAAATGAAAGCTGGATACATTCAGACATTTTCTAAAGAAATTGAAATACAGTATTATCAAGTATTACTGGTGACGGAGAAAGAAAGAAAAAGGGAACAAAACTTTTTCAAAACACAACTGTATGCCACATGTTTTTCCCTATTATAAATTGAATCATGGGAGGCCAATGTTTTAATAATGATATATAAAAACTGGCTGGAACAGCAGACTCCAACTCTTCCAGAAATGCCATCATATTTTTATATGTGTGTATATCTGTTCTGGTCAAAATATATGTTTACTTTTATGTATATATTTTAATGCCATAGAATATTGGTTCTAGCATAGGTTTCCAGAACCACATTTAATGCTTGAGCAATTAAGGATGGAAAAGTGGTGCTTATTGGGTACAACTGATTAGTTATTTCCTGCAAACTTGCCACAGTTCAGCACACAAACTAGCACCAGCAATAGACCATCATTTCTGCGTAAAGCTGAACAAAGTGCGGGGTTGTTAGCCGCCTGGCGCCCCCACAGAAAGAAAAGTGGGATATAAATAAAGTAAACAATAACTCTTTTCTTCCAGGAGAGAAGTGACAGAAGTCCAGCTGAAGAAGAAGAAAACTAATTCCTTTCTTGGAAAAGAGAAATGGTGGAGGCTTGGCTGCATGTCTCTCATCTGAGGAAGGAGACAACTTTGATGGGAACTTATTCCTTGGCCAAGAGAGATATATGGCTCTGCAAAACCAGACTTTCAACTGGATTTGTCACCCAGAGGGAACTGCTTTTAGGAGCTCAACACTCCAACATGTGATTCTTCCCTTTGGCTACTCTCCCTTCCACAAGGCAGCATGTGAGCACACAGAGGGAATATTTTGATTATACCATATTTTCAGCTTACAGTAGCATGCTGTCTGACAGGAAGATCTGACGGGAAAAATCTCTCCCTGGAAAAAGGGGTCCAGATTTTATATAAAAACTGTATTACATGAAGGGCCCCAGAATAAAGCAATGCATAGGACATTGGCTGACTATAATCTCAAACCAAGAACTACTCAAATTCTTTTGAATTGAACCCAGCTTCCAAGATTTCTTAGAAGGCAAGTTTATGAACTTCAAAAATAAGTAATGTGGCTTAAAATACGTCAGTACAAAGCAAGAAGTAGAAATAGAGCTCCATTTGCAGCTGCAAAGCACAACAAAAACACTTATTCCACGAAAAGCAAACTAACACTCTTTAGAGAAGCACATACAAGCATACACTCCAAGGCAAAGCATGCACTGATATCGCATGCAGGCAAAAGACAAAATGCCACCCTTGTTCCTTTTCACTATCTCTGATCCCAAAGGATGCAACGTGCCCCCTGCCCCACCAATATTCTTTCTAAAGCTTCAAAATAAAATACTACCCTTTTCTGTACCATGTTTTTACAGTTTTTTACCCAGCATTTTTAATCCTTTAAAATGTTGCAATGACTCACAGATGGGCTCCAGATGCATTCTCAGAAATTAAGATGGCGTGATGCTGGAGCCTTATGTTTTGCAACACACCAGCCTCCCCGTTAAAACTTTGTTTTAAAATTAAAGTATTTTAAGTATCAGAAGAGATCGATAATCTGGTGTTGCAAAGGAGCTGTCTAAAAGCACCACACTAGATACTACAAGATGAGCATGAAGGTGAGGAACTATCCATCAGGAATTAAAGGGGCTGTGCTATTCACGGCTTCTTTAACAAGAGAATGTCACATGCTGCAGAATGATATTAAATTTTGACTTGAGGACAGCTGAAAAAAAAGGAGGAAGCCAAAAAGGACAAAAAACAAAAGAGCCAGCAACACAAAAGCAACCATGTATTTTTAAAAAACCCAAATGTGAACAATAAAACAAATGGGACGGCAATTTGAATCTGGCTGGTTAAATACATTATTAGTGGTGGACAAAGAAAAATTATCCTGCATTTATGCTCTGATTATTTATGCTCAGATGTCAGGTGCTTGGGGGTGAAATACTATAGGCCTGAAGTTCCAATTATATAAAGTAGATTAAAACAGCTTGAGCAGAAAAACAAAAATTTTAAAGCTTTTATTTAATTAGGCTTGAAACCATTGCTATACCTTGGTTGGATTCTGCTGCTTCTCCAAGAATAGACCACCCCTACCCTCCTACATGCACACACACTAGTAGAATTAATGCAGTTTGACATCACTTTAATTGCTATGGTCCAACACTATGGAATTATGGATGTTGTAGTTTGATGAGGCACCAGCACTATTGCGCAGAAAAGGCTAAAAACCTTGTAAAACTACAAATCCCAGGGTACATAGAAAGAGCCTCCTCAAAGACTGAGTAAATACAGTCGGGCATCCCCTGGGCAACGTTTCTTGTAAACGGCTAATCTTTCTAACCCAAAAGAATTGTTGTTTTATGCAATGCTTTAGACACACAAAAAAGAAGAGAACCTACAAATCCCACGATTCCATAGCATTGAGCCATGGCAGTCATAGCTGTATTAAACTGCATTAGTGATAGAGTGTAGATGCACCCCCAGTTGTGGGGGAAAAAACTGCTCTGGGAGGTTCTGGACACTACAGGGAGTTGCAATCTTAAGATTTTACTCATGTGAGTACTGTATTTAAACTAAATTATATAGCTAATCATTAGCCTTTGGAATTTTTAACTTAATTTGTCAACTTCATTCTACTATTAAGAAAAGTCCTCTTTATTTAAATGAGCTTTCAAACAAATATGGCAGACGTACGTGCCGCTCCGGCCCTCATCACACTTGAGCATTTATCCACTAGTCCACTTTAAATGCTGTGACTGCCTCCTGCAGAAATCTGGGGTTTGTAGTTTTGGGAGTACCTGGGCTTCTCTGGATGAGCAGTTTAAAGGCCCCTCCTAAACTACAAACTCCAGTATTCTGCAGGAGGCAGTCACAGCATTTAAAGTGGATTAGTGGATAAATGCTCAAGTGTGATGAGGGCCTTAAGTCTCCTCCCCAGCTCAATTCTGCAGTACAAGGATATAGTTAATGTTGAGCATGACAAAGCTTACAAGGAGTTCAGACTCATTAGTTTCAGAGAGAAGCCAACACACATAATGGTAATTATATAACTTCAGAGTGGATTCTTATTAAAGACCCAATTAATTCACACTGGTGCTAGCTTTGACCTTTGGCAAATGTTACAAGAATTATGTTCTCCAGCTGCAAAGTCAAGATGAAGAAAGGAAAGGGGTGTAGTTTCATTAAGGAAAAATATACATTTAAGTGTACAATGCCCTTGGGCACCATCAGACCATAGTAAATGTACCAAATAAATGCAGACATCCCTATTCAGTAGGGACAATTTAAGTCTGCAGTCAGCTTTACGAGGGGGCAAGAAGAACAAATATAATCAAGACTGTAGTTTGCCTCCACAGACTTCTTGAACTGAGTAGTTTATTGCTCTTGGTAGAAGTGTTTTAAACCAGGCAGAACTATTTTGACTCCCTTGAATTATTTTGGCTGTCTTGGACTAAATTCAGCTACATGGAAAAACGTATGATACCCGTCATTTTTTCCCTTTAAAATATATAAGTAAATTGGGGAACTTGGAAATGTTACGGTTGATAGTTCCCAGAATTCACTATCCTATATAGGTAGAGTATCCTGGAAGTTGTACAAGGGTTATCCAGAAAGTAAGGTTAAAAGGCATGAAGCTCTCATGGGGAATTTTCTCGAGTGAAATTGGTATTACTGCCGTCTAGTGGGAATCCAGCGGAAGCGAATGAGCAGTGCTAGTTATCAGTAGCTCATCAACTGGCGCGAAGATTAGAGATGGACGTCCTCATTCGGTTTCCCTACAAGTGTGAAGTTTGCACTGTAATATGCTACCTAAATGCTAAGAGTATTAACACCCCTGCAATTCATTGCAAAATCAGTTCAGTTTATGGAGAGGATGTAACAGTATGTGACAAAATGGGTACAGAATATATTGTGAGACCATGAAGAAACTTTGCAGAGCTATCCAAAACAAACATCATGGGATGCTGACGATGTTGACTTCATTTGGTTGGGATGTTTTAAGCCACCCCTCTCACAGCCCCGATCTCACACCCAGTGACTATCACCTGTTCAATAAACTGAAGGCACACCTTGGTGGAAGCACTTTTCTGAAAATGACATGAAAATCAAAGTGACAAACTGGCGCAAAAAGGCAGAGGGAAACTTCTGTGACACAGGCATCAAAAACTCATCCCACTGATGACAAAATGTATTGAACTGAATGGTGATTATGTGGAAAAATAATGCAATACCTATGCTACAATCTATGCAAGTTTTATTAAGATATATTCATTCTTTGTATTAAAAAAAACTTGTAACCTTACTTTATGGATAACCCTTGTAGTTCCAAAAGGTAGTTTTTCCAAGATCTGCTCAGGGTTTCTATAGTGAAATAACAGTCATGTTTGTAAGAAGGAATATCAAATTCCTTTGCATCTTAAAGACATGATTCAAGGTGTCCCTCTAATATTTCTCATTGGAACTTATATTCCCATCAGTTTATTGTAGTTTGTAGAACAAAGTGCTACTACTAACTACAACACATTTCCCTCTGATATGTCACTTATACAGAAAGCTAAAGACAGCTTCAGTAATAAACTTTTCAACCTCTCCAAAAACAGACATGACTACACACACAAACATTCAGTATATCCAGGCCTCCACACTTTTATTTATTTATTTATTTATTTATTTCAAATATTTGTACTCCGCCTTTCTCAACCCCTTCCTGCAGATATTAATTTTGTTTTATATGCTGAAAAATATTAATATTTTACTTTTTCTACTTATGTAGTTGTTGTTGTTTTACTTGGTTATTATCTTATTATTTTATATATTTTATCTGATTGCATCCTAACCAGAGAACTTGATTTTTGATCAGCTTAAAAGGGAAGGAAGGAACAAACATTATGTCATGTGATTTTTTTTATCGACAGAACAATTTCATTTCCATTTGGGCTGTCTACAAGAGGCATCATAATCATCGTAGCCATTCATTAATTCATTCCTTGCTGCCCAAGGAACTGCCCAGGAACTTGCATAACTATTTCAGTACATCCAGGCCTCCATACTTTTATCCTCCTGAGAATATTAATTTGGTTTTATATGCTGAAAAACATTAATATTTTACTTTTTCTACTTATGTAGTTGTTGCTTTACTTGGTTATTATTGGGCATCCTAACCAGATAACTTGATTTTTGATCAGCTTAAAAGTGAGGGAGAGAGGGAGGGAAAGAAAAAAAGAAAAAGGAAGGAAGGAAGGAAGGAAGGAAGGAAGGAAGGAAGGAAGGAAGGAAGGAAGGGAGGGACGTGGAAGAACAGGCACAGCCTGTTACAACAGGCTGCTATTTCCGTTGCCACAGGAGTAGAAATAGTTGTTTCAAGCACAGAAAACACTATAATTGTATCCATGGAAAGGCTGATTCCCTCATTATGTTCTCTACGCACAGCAGTGGGAAAGGATAACAGAGCTCTGAGAGTATCATGCTAAGCTGATTTTTCATTGTGCGAACTAGCCGAGAGCTTTCATTAGCAAACAAGCAATATGGATTTGACCAAGATTGAGGGAGAAGGGTTTGCATATCACAGACTCAATTTCTTAAGCAGCTAGAGAAGGAATAGTCGCACAGATTGATGCATATCCCGACCTGTCTTCAATAATACACTTGAGACTACAACTATATAACACTGCTAAAAATCAACTGCTTAAAGTCATTGGGAACTCCTTGAATTAATGTATTATTGTGTTCATTCTTCCTCCTTCAGGTATTAAAAGGGTAAGAAGGATATCAAGATTGTTTTTAAAAGAAAAGGCCATGAAAACTGTGATTAATGATCCCATACTGAATCTATCAATGGCAAATATGTGCCTCGCCATTCCTTAGCACAGTGTTTTTCAACCTGTGGGTCCCCACATATTTTGGCCTATAGCTCCTAGAAATCCCTGTCAGTTTACCAGCTGTTAGGATTTCTGGGAGTTGAAGGCCAAAACATCTGAGGTTGTGGTTTCACTTGGTTATTTTATTTTATATATTTTATCAGATTGCATCCTAACTTCATTGGGGACAGTATGATCCTAGGATTCTTAGCAAGCCCATCCTCCTCTTTTTAGGATTAAACTCAAATTAATTTTAGAAGAGCAACCTAAACATCCAATAAAGCTTTCTATGCACATGTTTTTCCCCCTGAAATACTACAGAGAGGAATGTTCTCCTTCAACTTATAGCAATGGTCAACAGCACAACTGTTTTCGAGGGAAAATCACCATTATTAAACATTGCACCAATTGTTACTGGATAAACAGCATGGCAGACCTAATGGTTGAATACTGGATGCCAGACACCACAATTAAATGAAGAGGCTCTCTGTTCAAATAAGAAAAAAAATGTGCAATAACTAGCCACGATTTTCAGCACTGCATTATTTTCAGTGTCATTTACTTACAGTTTACTGCAGTTTTCTGCAAGTTTACATGGTGAGCATGAAAGAGAAAAACAAACATTTGAACTCACAAGTTGTTTTCAAATGAAACATTCAAGACTGCCTGGCACCTTTATTTGATGCTTTATCAAAACCTAGGGAAGGGCTGCAAATCACACTGCCGTCCTAATGCCATTGGACTGAAATCCCCAACACTAGCTATGGTGGCTAGGATTGCTGGGACTCATAATCCAACATCTGGAGGGCTAATCATTCCCACAAACACCACAGGACAGTATCATAATACTACACAGAGTCCCTCCAAAATGCATACACCCTTAAACAGTTTATAGCAGCTATGATGATTCAGTTCTTGTGAGTTTTTTCGGGCTATATGGCCATGTTCTAGAGGCATTTCTCCTGACGTTTCGCCTACATCTATGGCAAGCATCCAATGGATGCTTGCCATAGATGCAGGCGAAACGTCAGGAGAAATGGCTCTAGAACATGGCCATATAGCCCGAAAAAAACTCACAAGAACTGAGTGATTCCAGCCATGAAAGCCTTCGACAATAGCTATGATGATCATTTTAAAGCTAAGTATTTTTTTTTCATGTCAGGAGCAATTTGAGTAACTGCAAGTCACTTCCTAGTGTGAGAGAACTGGCCGTCTGCAAGGACGTTGCCCAGGGGACACCTGGATGTTTTACCAGCCTGTGGGAGGCTTCTCTAATGTCCTTGCATGGGAAGCTGGAGCTGTCAGATGGGAGCTCACCCCACTCCCTGGATTCAAACCGCCGACCTGTCAGTCAGCAGTCCTGCCAGCACAAGGGTTTGACTCATTGTGTCACTGAGGGCAATTTATATAGAAGAATAAATGTTATAACAATAATTTAATCAGAATTAAATTCCATCTTAAATTGTAATTTGATGCAATGTGTTCAAATTTTCATAGGACAGCAGTATACTGCCTGCACTCTCAAAGAACAGAATTCCACATCTCACTTAATGTTTCTCTTATTATTTCACAACACTATTTGAAGCTTAATCCTGTTAGGGGTGTATACATTGCCCAGGAGGAGGGGGAGGAGTGCAAAAAGAATACCAGAATTATAAGCTGTTAAGGGTGTATACATTTCTTTGGATACTCTATATTCCATTTTCTACTGCGTGGATTTGGAATGGTACAATGTACAAGTAGGAATAAATAACCACCATGTATACACAGTAACCAGAAAATTCCACACTTGTAGATATAAAAACCTAAGTTAAATACTGAGTCGCACAAAGCAGAATTTGATTAACAACATTTTGCAACAATAACATTTAGATTCTAAAGTCCAGTTTATTTATGTACACTGAACACACATATGCTTCATATAAATGTGTTAGCCTGCCATGCCACCCTTCCTGGTGCAAGAAGTATAGATCTCAAGCCAGCTATCTTAATCACTTAAACCTACACAGATTTAAGAGCAGGCACAGAAACATCTCACAATGAAAGTGGGCCAAGAAAAATCTTTTTAAAAAAGCTCTTTTCACAGAACTGCTGTGTTCAGTCTCTGCTGGAAACCAGCAAAAGCTCCCCAGCTGCCTTAAACAAAAGAAGAACTAGCACCATTCTGACAAGTCAAGCAGAATATGTGCTGTTGGTGGCACAGAAGGACTCTGGAATCAATCCAGTGCATACAGGTGTTCTGGAGATGTATCAATAGTATCTGTGCATCAGTTTGTTTCTGAATTTGTCAATGTGAGCAAGAACGAAACTACCATATTCCTCACTGAGAAAACAGGCATTCACATTGCTCCTTAGTTTTGGCAATCCTTAAAGGACTCCTGTGAAGAGGAAAAAAACAACAAGATGCAAAAGAAATGAAAACAATTAGAGGGAAAGGGTACAACGCCTAGTTGTGTTACTTTGCAGAGAGAAGAAAGTTCTGAAAAATCTTGCAATGCTAGAAAAAAAATGAACTCTTAAGGCTCCAACTATTCATGCAAGCTACCATCACACACACACACATCAAAACTTTACTGACTAAACTGGAAATTTCCAGATTCTTCCTCCACACAAGTATAACCCCTTTAGGAGCTCACAAACAAGAACAGTAGGTGCAAGGAACAATTAAGATGTCATAAAACTTCAAACGCCAACAAGTGAGCTCTTCACATTGTGCCACAAGGCAAAGGATGAAAAATGTTCAAGGCAAACTGAAGTAGCCAAAGGCAGCCCAATGAATATAACACCACCACCCTTCAAATGCCCGTTTATGGAAAAAATAAATTAATTCATCTGTAACTCGGTCAAGTAGCCTGGATAAGAATAAGACTCTAAATTCCTGTGCATCCAAATACGGAACCAAATCAAGGGAGGCAATATTACCTGTCATGGATCCGTATCTGGTGTGACACCAGAATAGCTCCATGCCATGAGTTCCATTGCCAAAGTCAAGAAATGAAAACATCTAGAGGCCATAAGCAGGAGGGAGCCTGATAACATAAACCAGCTCAGACTAGAAGGCCTGGAGGCTGGACGGAGGAACTTTCTGGAGTTGAGGGGATGGGGTTTTAGGATTGAAACTGAAAAGCTGCTCGCATTTTCTTTATTCATAACTTTGCATTAACTCATTCTCTTGTGATTTGGATTTAATTGCTACCAAGATTCTGCAATCATCATAGTGCCACTTTATTCTGCTTTAGTCAGACCTCACCTCGAACACTGGTTCCAGGCAACCAAAACTGTTCAGAGAACAGCAACCAAAATGGCAACCACTGTTCTATGAAGAGCCATGTAGGGAACTAGATATGTTTAGCCTGGAGAAGAAAACGTTAAGAAGTGACATGGTAGCCATGTTTAAATATTTGAAAGGATATGACATTGAGGAAGAAGCAAGCTTGTCTTATGTAGCTCCAGAGACTAGGAAATGGAGCAGTGGATTCAAGCTATAGGAATAGAGATTCCGCTTAAACATTAGGAAAAAAATCCTGATAGTAAAAGTTGTTTGACAGTGGAATGTGTGGTTTCAGACTGTGGTGGAGTCATTTTCTTTGAAGGTTTCAAAACAGGGGGTAGATGATCATTTGTCAGGAGTGCTTTGATCGTATAATTCTGAATGGTAGGAGGGTGACCTGGATGTCCCATACAGTCTCTTCTAGCCCTATGATTCTATGAGCCCCAAGGCTAGTCCTACTATTTCAGAGAGGCGGCTGCCTTTGACATTACACAAATAACAGCAATTCCACACAACCTTGCAGAGTCCCTGATGCTTGACTTGTAGCAGGAGTGAGGGTAGTCAAATTACTGGGTCCTAGTAGTCCAATTAGACTATATATGCTAAAGACATTTGATCTCATCTGACCTTGGAACCTAAGCAGGGTCAGGTCTGATAACTAACTGGATGGGGAAATCTATGATTACCAGGCCTATAGACTATATTACAAAGACAAGAACTGGCAAAGCCTTAGTACTATTTGGCCAACAAAGGTCTCTGAAATTCACAGTCGCCATAAGTCAACAGGTGACTTGAAAGCATGGGGGGGGTGAGGGGAGAGGGAGAGAGGCTCAATTATGTTGCATATGTCTTTATTTCACTCAGTAGCATTTTTAATCTGTTGTTTTTGACATATGCTGCAACACTGGTGAATTTTAAAAAATAGTAATGATACAAAATTTGAAATCTCTTGTACAACTTTTTAACTGGCCCTCCAAAGGTTCAAAACTGCCATCAAATGAGCCAGAAAAAAAAAAACAAATGTCTCGGGAGTTGGGATGTTCTGTGGTTTCCCGGCTGTATGGTCATGTTTCAGTGGCATTTTCTCCTGTCACTTCAGATGTATCTGTGGCTGGCATCTTCAGAGGATCCTGGCATTTCACCTGCATCTTTGGCTGGCATCTTCAGAGGATTCTCTGAAGATGGCAGCACAGATGCAGGTGAAACGTGGTGAGAAAATGCTGCTAAAATACAGACCGAAACCACACAACACCCCAGTGATTCCAGCCATGAAAGCCTTCGAAAACACATCTCAGGAGTTACTCCTGTAGTTGACAGGCAAAGGGATGCAACAGTAGGAACCTAAGGGGAAAGATCTCCCATCTCCACCTAAGGAAGGCTCCCAGAAATCAGAGACCCAGCTCTTTCTCCTCTGCTCATGGCAGGCCCGTAGCCAGGATTTTGATTTGGGGGGGGGGGGGGAGTTTGATTGGGGGGGGGGGAGTCTGAGTGAAAGAGGGTCTACCCTAGCAAACCTTTTGTATCATTACCCCAATACCCCCATGCATATGGGATATATTGAGCATGGTGATCAGATCATGATATGAATAAACATAACAGTTTAAATAATGTACCAGTAAGGCCTTCTTGTGGACCACCATGAGAATTTCGGGGAGGGCTGAAGCCCCCCGAGCCCCCTCCCCCCCCGGCTACATTCCTGGCTCACGGTATCATATGGCCCTTCCTTCTTACCCCTGGCCCATCTAACGGTCTTCCTTGCCAATGGGAGCACAGCAGATGCACCAGCTGGGCAGCCCCATGGTTTCCAAGTTTCTTTCAAGACCACAAGAAGTCAGAGAGGGAAGCAAGAGAAGTGCCCCTTTCTCTGCCTTAGATACGATGCTGCTCAGACAAAGTCAGTCCAGAAGCACTTACCCAGCCAACATGTGATCATCAACAGGAGTCCTCCACCCATTGTGAAAATATGCTGCTGGCAAAAAAACTGTGAGGGGGCTACATGAAAATAAATTTAATTGGGGTCCAAATCCTTTCACTGCAACCCTGGCCAATGTTATTTTACACAGCACTCCACTGTAGATCTCTGGCAATGCAAATGAAATACAATTGCTCACTGTGTCCATCTGGTTTTTCTTTCGGAGTCGCAGGGGGGTAGTGCTGACGTCATGTATTGCCTCCTTCTTTAAGCACACCTCTTCCACATTTACAACTGAGTAGGTGGAAGTGCGGCTGCCATATTTCTCTCCCTTTCAGTGGGGGCAGTTTAGGGTAGTGAGGAAATCCCTACTAAGCTTTGAAGCTTAGGGTGCAACTA